GCATATATTCTTATATAATAACTCTCATTTTAGTTCATCTGAGGTCATCCTTTCTTTGAGAAGAGAAAGCTCCTGGAAACTCCCACTAATAGAAAATACTAGTTTGTTAACTGTTTTGTCATTACTATCAAAGTTTTTGAAGTATTTTTCTACCCTACTTAATATTACTAGTATCTAGGCCTTTTAAAGTTTGGAGATGTGTGTGTGTGTGTGTGTGTGTGTGTGTGTGTGTGTGTGTATAAAATACTCATGAAATCTAAAATATGTTAAAGCTCAGATAGCACATAGAAAAAGTATAAGGTGAAAATATAACTGTCAACTCAATGAGGTTCTCACTTGATTAGTTTCGCTGTGTCCCAACCCAAACTTCATCTTGAATTGTATTTCCATAATTCCCACATATTGTTGGAGGGCCCTGGTGGTAGATAATTAGAATCATGGAGGTGATTTTCTCAATAGTGTTCTCAAGGTAATGAATGAGTCTCATGAGATTTGATGGTTTTATCAGGTGTTTCTCCTTTTGCATCTTCCCCAATTTCTCTTGCCACAAACATGTAAGAAGTGCCCTTCATCTCCCACCATGATTCTGAGGACTCTCTAGCCATGTGGAATTTTAAGTCCAATTAAACCTCTTTTTTTCCCCAGTCTTGGGTATTCCTTTATCAGCAGCATGAATATGAACTAATACAGTAAACTGGTATCTGCAGTATGAAAACAGACTAATACAATAAATTGGTACCAGTAGAGTGGGGCACTGTTGAAAAGATACCTAAAAATGTGTAAGTAACTTTAGAACTGCATAACAGGCAGATGTAGGAACAGTTTGGAGGGCTCAGAACAAGACAGGAAAATATGGGAAAGTTTGGAACTTCCTAGAGACTTGTTGAATGCTTTGGCCCAAATTGCTGAGAGCAATATGGACAATAAGGTCCAGGCTGATGTGGTCTCAGATGGAGATGAACTTTCTGGGAACTGAAGCAAAGGTGACTCTTGTCATGATTTAGCAAAGACACTGGTGGCATTTTAACCCTGCCAAAGATTTGTGGAACTTTGAACTTAGAGAGATGATTTAGGGGATCTGGCAGAATAAATTTCTTAGCAGCCAAGCATTCAAAACGTGACTTGGGTGCTGTTAGAAGCATTCAGTTTTATAAAGGAAACTGAATAAAATAAATGTTCAGAAAATTTGCAGTCTGACAATATGATAGAAAAGAAAAACCCATTTTCTGAGGAGAAATTCTAGTTGGCTGCAGAATGTTTCATACATAATGAGAAGCTGAGCGTACATCTCTAAGACAATGGGGAAAATGTCTGCAAGTCATGTTAGAGGTCTTCACGGCAGCCCCCTCTCATCACAGTCCTGGAGACCTAGGAGAAATGGTTTCATGGGCTAGACCTAGGGTCCCTGTGTGCAGCGTAAAGACTTGGGGCCCTGCATTCTAGCTGTTCCAGCCATGGCTGAAAGGGGCCAATGTGGAGCTCAGGCTGTGGCTTCAGATGGTGTAAGCTTGAAGCCTTTGTGGCTTTCACATAGTGTTGAGCCTGTGAGTGCACAAACTCAAGAATTAGGATTTGGGAACCTCCACCTAGATTTCTGAAGATATGTAGAAATGCCTGGATGTCCAGGCAGAAGTTTGCTGTAGGGGTGGGGTGCTCATGGAACCTCTGCAAGGGCAGTGTGGAAGGGAAATGATGTTGGAGCCCCCAGCACAGTCCCTACTTGGACACTGCCTAGTGGAGCTGTGAGAAGAGGGCCACTATCCTCCAGACCCCAGAATGGTAGATCCACTGACAGCTTGCACCATTTGCCTGGAAAAGCTGCACTCAATGTCAGCCTATGAAAGAAGCTGGACAGGAGGTTGTATCCTGCAAAGACACAGGGGCAGAGCTGCTCAAGACAATGGGAACCCACCTCTTGCATCAGAGTGACCTGGATGTGAGACCTGGAACTTTAAAATTTGATTGCCCCACTGGATTTTGGACTTGTGTGGGCCCTGTAACCTTTTTGTTTTGGCCAGTTTCTCCCAGTTAGAATGGCTGTATTTGCCCAATACCTGTGCTCTCATTGTATGTAGGAAATAATTAGGTTGCTTTTGATTTTACACACTTATAGGCAGAAGGGCTTTCCTTGTCTCAGATGGAACTTTGGACTGGGGACTCGGGTTAATTTTGAAATAAGTCAAGACTTTGGGGGACTGTTGGGAAGGCATGATTGGTTTTAAAATGTGAGGACATGAGATGCGGAGGGGCTAAGAGTGGAATGATAAGATTTGGTGTTGTCCCCAGCTAAATCTCATCTCGAATTGTACTCCCATAATTCCCATGTGTTGTGGGAGGGGCTGGTGGGAGATAAATTGAATCATGGGGGCAGTTTTACCCATGCTATTCTCATGGTAATGAATAAGTCTTATAAGATCTAATGGTTTTATCAGGGATTTCTGCTTTTGCATATCCCTCATTTTCTCCTGCCATCACCATGTAAGAAGTGCCTTTCACCTCCCACCATGATTCAGAGGCTTCCCAGCCATGTGGAACTGTAAGTCCAATTAAAACTGTTTTCCCTCTCAGTCTCAGGTATGTCCTTATTAGCACTATGAAAATAGACCAATGCACCACTTAAAGAAGGGCCAAGGATATTCTGCTAAAACATTAGATCTTTTGATTTACAATAGTGGACAGGAAACTAAGAACAGACATTCAAATCCATCTGAAAGCAATAAGGTAGATTAAGAGTCCAGGAGCCACAGAATATGGAATAAAAGCAGGTAAAGCAGTTTACTGAACTTCACTGGAGTTGGGTTACTATAGGGATGATCAAAGAATATTCTGAAGTTGAAGTTGGAATTTGTTAATATATGACAAATTAGGTGCCTAAAACATAAAAGGAAGAGAAAGTATATGTACAATACCAAGTTCTAGGCATTTTGCTGGAGTAGCACCAGAGTAGCTAAGTAGTGATCTAAATGATCAGTAGTCCCTAGTAGAACTATGAAGGCAATACTTTCAGGTGGCCAGTTGCTGCTTGGCCAGTGAAAGAGAAAACTGTCTTCAATTTTAGAATAAAAGAGGTGGATAGAAAAATTTTTGGGGATCAGAGTTTTATTCACAGATTGACTATATCTCAGAAATCTGGAAACCTATGGGCTGACCAAAGCCAATTACAGGGAAGTGATATATAGTGCAGGCTGTATAACTTCTAGAAATTGAAGGCAGGAAAAGTGAAAATGAGAGGTGGAAGTATAAAGCAGGGTTGACCACCAGTCACTCTTAAGACAGAGAAAGAGTGTAGGAACCACTTTTTTGGACACACAATTCCATGTTACATAAGAACTCAGTAGTTTGGGAACTGGAATAATGCAAAATCTTAGTTAATAAAAACTGGAGTAACAAAGCCAGATCAGGAAGCAATAAGGAAATGACATAAACATGGGGGACTACTGCAATCAAGCCTCTTCCAAACATGTAAAAGCATCCTTAATTTCAGAGTCACAGGTGGGGCTAAATCTAACAACTTAGGCCCCAGTGACAAAGTTTACAGCAATGCAGAAATAGACTTTGTTTTACTCCAGTACTAATTACCTTTTAAAACTCCCTATTGCAATTGTTGCAGTCCTTACATTGCAACAATTTTGACTATGCCTTGACAGCTTTACTTTCTTATTTTACCAGCCTTATGATTTGGTCATGTCAGAAATTCTAGAGGCCTTACATTTTTCACAGCTGTACTTCTCATAGACCTCAATGTTTGAAGCTCCTGATTTCACTTCCATTGCCATTTCCTCATCAAATACTTTTACATCCTCTTTCTATACAATTTTGTCATATATATCTACTTGTTCACAAGGTTTCTCTCTTACTCTAATTAATTTAAGAGTTTAGGTTTTAAAAGGCTCAACTGGTTTCAAATTAATCTCTGACCCTCCACCCAAGAGAGAAAAGGAAAGATAATAAGGTAAAAATGTTTGCAGTTGTATTCGCTGTTAAGAATTTTCTTCACTTGATAATGCTTGAGTGTGATTTTTCATGACGTTGTTTAAAAAGTACTTGCCTATTTATGATTAATACATACATAACTAATTATCTTTCATTTTAAGACTTTATTTCAAAAAGACTTTTTTAAGATCTATACTTTCACAGGCTGTACTGTAGCATAGCTTCAAGAGACTGTAGGTGTTTTTCAATATGTCAACTCGGCATACTTTTCTATCCATCTTTATGTTGTGCTGTTTCACATTTCAATATCCATGTTTCATTCATTTACCTAATTTTTCTAAGTAACTAAAACAAGCCAAAAACCTGTACAGATATGACCATTGCCCATTATAAACTGCTTATATTTATGATGTGATTACAATTCTACTTGCACTGTTAAGTTTTTTCAGTTAAGAAGTTAATCAAACATACCATTCATCAAACGTCTCTTGACCATTAATAAAAAACAAGCAGGCATGCTTAATTATGTAAGAAAACTATAAAACTCAAATATACTAACATACACAAATACCATATATAAAGAGAAATTAAAGAAATATGGCTCAGGATATCAAATATAAACTTACTAAACTAGGCTCTTACTATCTTCTAGATAATTATTAATAAAAAGCAAAATTAACACAAATCTGTTACATCATTCCATAGTAATATTCATAATCTTTATACAACAAATAAAATCACACGAAACTAATGAGCATAAAGAATAGTAAGAAAAAATTTTGTGTGTGAATATTAAACTTACTAAAATTGCCAATTGCCTCCTCTATCACCAAAAAAGCTGTGTGAATCTTGTTGCTATGATGAGATCACTTTTTATTTCAACTATGCAATAATTATAATATTCTATTCCAGAGTAAATGTAATTTAAATGTTACACAGCAAAGAATATCATAGACAAATATTTGTTTGAGCTTTTAGTAATACTATTAAATTTTCTGCCAGTTTTCCATCCCTAAGTAAAATGTCTTTGAAAAACTTCCAGTCTCAAAGAACAGAAGAATGCTCACCTTATTACAAAATTGTGACTGTCAATCTCCTTTCCACATTCACTATCCAGCAGAATGCCAGAATTTCCAACAACTGCACAGGTCTTAAACCTGCGATTCTTCATTGGTGAAACTTCAGGTAGGAGGCTATGTAGATCATGAGAAATATTTAGCGTCCGGCGCCTGTCAAGCACATAGTGTATGACATCACCAGGCTTAAAACTGCTCTTGACCACTGAGACATCTCGTTCTGCATCTAAGAAACGAAGTATATTCTTCCTGTATTTGAAATACAAGCAAAGTTTTACATTAAGGACAGCATATCCAAGAACTGGTGAAGTCATTTACAAAATAACATAAGACAAAATACAAATTAGTAAACTACTAATCTTAGATTACCAAATTGGTAAACTAGGAATCTTAGATGGCAATCAAATGAATTAAGTAGATTTTGTAAGAGATAACATTTTAAAAAAATTCTTTGTACAGCTTCTGAATGACTGTGTTCATATATACAGTATATACATGTATTTGTGGAGTAAAAAAAGCACTCCAATTATCAAAATATATAGAAAAATCGGTTTCTTAAGTAAAACAGAGTTGACATAATTCGACTTTGAATAGTTATCCTGCCAGCTTCAGCCTATTTTGATAATTATATATGTTGTTTAATATTGTCCAGTTAAGATGGATAGAAATAATTTGAAATTGTTTTTATTGTAACACAGTTAATGCTATTAAAAGGAATGAACTTCTCAAACTTATATACATTTGTACACATGATATGTATATTATAATTATCTAAAGAAGAATTAAACTATAGCAATAAATGTATATGCAACTTTTTCTCTAAGATCAAGAGTCCAGAAAGTAAGATGAATACATCAAAGACAAGATGAATAGATAGAACATTGGACTGCGAGGCAGAGTTACCTAATTGTTCCTTAGTTCCTTTCTTCTCTTCTTCCTTCTAATATTTGAATCTTCTAAGTTTTACTTGAGCACATGGGTGCTCAGCTAGAATATTTGCAAGTCTCAAAACCCAAGTAGAGTTCAGTTAGGTTATGTAAGTTAGATTTCTTAAATAGGATATGAGTGATCATGTGAGTTTATATGAGAAATAAAGACATTTCCTACTTGTTTAGTCACTAAATTTTACAGTTGATTTTTGGCAGATCCTTAGCCTAATACATAAATTGATAACAGATGTGAGAGGCTATATGAACATAAATGTATGCATATGCTAAATAGATAGATGATGGAAAATGATAAAATACATATAGTCGGCTGGAAACTGATGACCTTTTGCATGATACAGAAAAGCACCTGATACAAATGCTGTCTGCAATAATTTGGAAGATGTGCCATATATCTGATAAATATGTTGTTCTTGAATAATTGTCTGAAATGTGTTTGTATGTTGGTTTATGTTAGTCTCTTCTTTAGGAAGGCACTAAAAGAGGTAAAGTCAGACATGAAATAACCAACTTACTTGCAGGCTGAGATGAAAAGGAATACATATCTAGCAATGTCTGTAATATAAGCTGTGTGAGAGTCTATTGATTAGGACCTTTTAAATGTTTCTGTAACACCAGTCAGCAAAAGACACCACTATAAATTGGAGCCATCCAAGAAGCAAAAGGGATATTGCTTTTCCATATAGGTCCATAGACAGGAGGGAGGGATAGGTCAGAGTAATTAGAGGAGAGTTTGAAGGCTTAAGAACTCTGAGCAGAAGACATCATTGGATGAGGTTATTTACACCTGGAACTAACAAGAACAGAAGAGTTAAGGATCCTGGTAAGTTTTGAGAAGAAAAAAAAAAAATATACACACACACACACACACACACACACACATATATATATCAGGCTTTAATATTTTCCCTCTAGAGAAACATGAATCTACAAAAGCTAATGCTTAATATGCATGCTTTACCAGTGTGTGGTCAAGTTATTACCTGATATTCAAAGCAGGAGATTGTGTTTTCTGTGCGTGACTCAAACTATGAACCTGGCCCACAAAAGTCTGGAATTGTTTGATTCTAGGGGTATCCAACATAATACCAGCAAGAAGCAATCTGGGGGACTATATTTAGTTTGGATATTTGATATTATTTACTTAAGTGTTCTTATTGCAAGTATTTTCAAAGCAATAAAAACAATGTCATTATTATAAAATTTAAGATATGATGGACATATTTTTCCTCTAGTGCTCTTCTGTTTAAGCTCATAACAACTGGTAAATTTTATTACTAAGAGCAGAATATAACCTCATCCCTTTACTCCATCAAAAGAGTAATTCTCTAACAGACTTAGAAGGCAGAAGTGTGATTATTAAAGAAGGGAGAAAAGTAACACTTATCTTTCCTTTTGTTGTCTTTATTTTGGTTTGCTCTAAATATGTTCCAGTTTAATATTTGTTCTAGTTAGAAAACCAAGTGATTGAAATACTCTGTTATGATTTTATACTCAAGAAATATGTCCACCAACTCTTTGAAAAAATAATTTTATGAAATTTTTTCTCAAATATTCTGAATATCAGATTCATAAGCAGTAGAAGTTGTACAGGAAAGTCTATATAAATAGTCTACAAATGAAATCACAAAAATTGATAGAAATACCACTGAGACACCATAACAGTTTATCTTACCAAAGTACAGGTTATATAAGAAGAAAATGATATTTGAAATCAGTAACCCTAGGGCCTATACATTATAGAAACTAGAAAATGTTTATGTTAAGCACTAAGTGGTGCTTCACAAAAGGTAACAACTAGCACAAAAGGTGTCAATACACAGAAACTTTTGTACATATTTATTGACTACCACTTACTTGTCTGGTGAATAATTAATATTTGACACTTGTACTTCAACAGAAATTTCTCATTTCCTGTGAAAACGACAAGGCTGACTCTAAAATAGAGACTACACGGATGTGGTAAAATCGTCAAACTAGATGGTGTTATCATTTTTCTTTGAATATAGTTTAAATGGGTTGCTGTAGATGTATTTGAAGATGTACACTCCCAAGAAGTGGCATACTTGCAAGCTTGCAGTGAGTAGATTTGTGGCCCAGATTTGAAAAATATATTCTGTAGCTTAGAAATTCAAAACAGAAAATCTCTTTTATTTGGTCAAAAAAGTTAACACTTACATGCTAGTCAACTAATGTCAAAAGGGACTTTCCGATAACAGTACCTTTGCTATGTTATAGACAGTCTCAAAAATAATTTAAAACATGTATTTTAAGTTCCTGAGTATAATTAAACCTTTTTGCTAATCATGCTTCTGCCTTCTGAATACTCTTGATGGAGTCAAGGGATGAGGTTCTATTCTGCTCTTAGTAATACAATTTACCAGTTGTGATGAACTTAAACAATAAGAGCACTAGAGGAAAAATGTGTGTCATATGTTAAACATGTGTTTAAGATCCTGAGTATAATCAAACCTTGATTTTTCTCTTAGAGAAAAATGATTTTAAAGAAAACTCTAAGAGTTAAGCAAAGTTTTAAAAGACATCATATTGTCTAACTCTTAGAAGAAACTAATGCTTAATAAGGTAAATAATTACTAAGTGCAGATTGTAATTATGTGGTCTTCCATTGTTGTTATAGGCTCAGCAGTCTTTTTTTTTTTTTCAATTGAAGCAGTAAAAATAGTAAAATTGATTTAAAAACTATAAAAACTACCAACTCACATAGACTAATCAAAACATAAAAACATGAAAAACTTAGGCAAAACTCGGAGTTTGCTATTTTACAAAGTAAAAAGAAAACGAGGTAAACTTGCGTGACTCTGGTGTGTGTTTTTTTAAGTTTTTTTTCCCCTTTTTTTTGTTTTTTTTTCTTACTCCTGAACCAAAATTTTAGTTTCTGTTTTAGGTTTTACATCTACATGTGGAAAATTATCTGAGTTAAAATTCCTTTTGTAGGATCCAAGAAAGACTGAAAGTAATTACTACGAGGGAATAATATTATAACTTAAGTGCTTAGTAATTTTTGGAAACAGTAAGAACAGGTTAATTTTTTATCCCCTAGTGAAAACAGATTTTAGATTTTAGATGTAATGGAGAATTAAAAGCTTTGTGTATTTGGTAAGTCTAGTTGTTTTTAAGACTATAAATATGAAATAAAAAAGCATTCAAATATAATTAGCTAAATGTTATTGGAAGCATAGAAACTCCTATACTTACACTGAACTAAAACAACAGTATATCACCATGGAGAACATATATGCTTTTGCTCAGAAGATAGTTGATAGGAATTTTTGTTTAATAGTAGGTCAAACAAAATTATTTTGGAAATGAGAGAGGTAGAAAGAAAACTGGCTTGAATATCTGCACTCCAGATAAACATGAATCCAAAAAAGCTAATGCTTAATATTGCATGCTTTACCAGTACAAGTTTTTCTAGTACATGCTCAAGTTATTACCTGATATTCAAAGTAGGGGTTTGCGTTTCTGTGCATGACTGAAAAGAACAAACAAACAAAAAGACCCCTCATCGGTCTTTAACTGTCATTTCGTGATCATAATCCAATTTTTGAAACCTCATTAGATAAGCAAACACCAAAATTCAGCAACTATTTTAACGTAGAAGATAACTGAAGGAAGCTGAAAATATGTTTCATTTTCAGTGAAACTAAATATCTTAGTCATAACAACCATTTTTTGTTAGACTATATCAGCCTTAAACGGGAAGGTTGATTTAGACTGTTAAACTGACAAGTAAATTCTACACAGAAAGCATTAACTGAATTTTCAACTAGAGCTTTCCTTTCAACATCACCTATCACTTGAGATAGCAACTGCAGAATCCCAGAAAATTAGTTTACTAAACATTGTTTAGTAACATTGTTTTCATTTGTGAAATGTTAAATATAGCCAACCTATCACCAGCTGCTACTCTTTCTTCTCTATAGGTTTCTTGGCAATAATAAACACACAGCTGCAACTAAAATTTAATCTAAATGATATTGTTAACTGCATGAGAAAGTACTGTGTGACAAATCTTATATGTGGAATGTATCACAAGTTGAGAAGCAAATTAGGCTATGATACATATATTAGGAACCAGTTTTTACAAACTTTAAACACTGACTACAGACCAAAAGAAAAAAAAATCACTGTATAAATTAAGTTAGTACTGACACAATTCACTGAAAGAAAATAAAAAGTAAAACTTAGAAATGCCAAGTGTTTCATAATGCCTACAAAAAAAAAACAGAGAGAACACACTTTTTTTGTTTGTTTAAAAAAAGTTGGCTTAAAGCTCTGAGAGAATAAGACTTTCACCTGCACCTTGTTTAGGATTTCTAAGTCCTAGCAGTTATAGGAAAGACATCTTAGTATCAAAAAAAGTTTAAGCACAACAAATGAAAAGGCAAAATTGTCCCACAACTTGATGAAGAACATTTTTAGTTTAATTTACATCCTAGAGTGCCATTTGATATTTGGCCCAGAATTTGGTAATGGTGAATGAAGAATATCTTTTGTTATTTAGGAGGAAAGAGAATCATTTATTCCATAATGATAAATTTTAATAATATATATTTGGGTACTAAAATATATTCCTTAAAAAATGTATTGTATAAGGCTCTGGTTCCTTAGTCAGAAGGCCTGAGTTTGAATCTTGACACTGCCATTAATAAGCTTTATGACCCAAGATTAGCTCTACTGGGAACTTACGAATCAAAGCAAGTGGAAAATGGTATAAAAACTGTATATATAACTTTCCATAAAGTAAATCCATGTATGCAATAGAAAATTCTTGTCAGTTAAGCATATATAAATTTGCAATTATGTTTAGTTAACCTTCAAGTTTTGTGTACTTCAGAACTTGGTGTATCATGATACTGAGAGCTGAAATATTTTTTCTAATTATAATGTGATAAAGCTATCCTGATAGTAGCTGAGCTTGTACATTTCTATACATCTATACTTGATGTTCACACTCTTGGGGTTTCTAGTCAACATATAAAAAATAAGGAAAAAAAGCAAATAAATAATCTAAATATGGAAAAGAAGTCAAGTTGCAAATATTGGACATGACTATGCAATCTGTCAGTTCAGTGTTCACCAATTTTTTCACAACATCTAATGCATCTTAAATCTGTCATTACTTAACTTATAATAGTAAAGAGCAAACTTTTACCAAAAATATCAAGCCTTAAAACTAAGATAATTATTTTGAGTGCAAAGTTAGCTGTAGAATGCATGAACTCCATATATCTTGAATCCTCAAAATACAATGAAGTAACACATGGAACCATCTCTCGTAGACAGCTCCCCAGAAGTACGGTTGTTTGATGAATATATATGAACTAATTCTTGGTGTGCTTATGAAGATAACATAAGACATATGGGAATGAAGGAATTAGTAATAGGAAAGAAAATTATGTCTACAAATGTAAAAAAAAATAATCTCAGGAACTTTCACATTTTAATATGTGGACAATTATTAAGAATATAATAAAAGCATTATAAGTTTAATAAGATTTTTAAATGTAAAAAATTTATATTCATAATCGAATGGTGTAAGATAAAAAACATTTGCCTGTAATGTCTTTTTTTTTAATTTTTTATTGGATTTTAGGTTTTGGGGTACATGAGCAGAGCATGCAAGACAGTTGCGTAGGTACACACATGGCAGTGTGCTTTGCTTCCCTTCTTGCCTGTAATGTCTTAATGTTTTCACTCATAAGTGAGAGTTGAACAATGAGAACACATGGACACAGTGAGAGGAACATCACACACCTGGGCCTGTCTGGGGTGGTGAACAAGTTAAGGCAGAGCATTAGGAAAAATACCTTATGCATGCAGGGCTTAGAAACTAGATGATGGGTTGAATAGGTGCAGAAAACCACCATTACACATGTATACCTATGTAACAAACCTGCAGGTTCTGCACATGTATCCTGGAACTTAAAGTAAAATAAAATAAATAAATAAATGAATAAATAAAAGCAAGAGATTTGCTTGAACTGGGACCCAGGAGGCAGAGATTGCAGTGAGCCAAGATCATGCCACTGCATTCCAACCTGGGCTACAAAGTGAGACTCTGTCTCAAAAAATAAAAATAAAAATAAATAAAAACTTAAAAGTAGAAATTTGAAAACACTTTTAAAATTTACCCATGCCCAATCACTGACTCGGTGTGATATATAACTTCTTAAATTCCAGAAAAGTGAGGAAGAAAGAAAATAATAATAATAATAATAATAATAATAATAAATGATCCATATTTAGTTTCCAATGTCTTCCAAAAAAAGTTGCAAAACCTAAGCCAACAATCAGATATTTTTATATTCTAAAGTTTTTATTACAGGTATCAAACTGATTAATACTCACTAGTCATTTCTGCTATAGCCAATTCTATTTTTTATGAACTCTTTACACATTGTACATAATGGTTTTACAAATTATTATTTTCTTTCAAGGAAGTGACAAATTTGTATGTATTATTAAACATTTGTTCATTGTTGTATTGTTTATTTCTTTAATCTGTTAAGGAGAACCATAAAAAAATAGTACTAACATTTCATTTATATTATCAGTTATAATTAAAAATAGATCACCCTCAAATATATGAATGCAACTCTCATTGATTTGTAAAGTTGTAATATGAATCTTTCGGGTCAACTTAGGTTCATTACCCTTTGCTTGAATATGTTATTAATAGCAAAATGTATATAGCCTCATGCATATTTATGGTATTTGATTTTTATATAAATATGAGGAAAGGCATGACCAGATATAATAGTTGAACAAGTGGCAATTACTTATTTCATTTATTTATTAGATTTTTTGTTATTGGACATATTATTCAGCATGGCTAAATATATTAATTAAACGACTACAATATTTCATTTTACTTTCTTCTATCAGGTTTCTTTACCAGATTTCTAGTTTTAATTGGCTCATTTCTTGCTAAACTATGTTATTTGAAAGTTCTCTTTCTGCTTACAGATCAAACTTTTGCTATTTAATCACCTGTCTCTCTTTCCAATATAACTTCAAGAAATATGAATCATTACTCCATTCTAAACCATAGTATATCTGTGTTTATGACCCCATATCATCTCATATCTTGTGCCTTTTTCCCCATAACTATCTCACCTCTCACAGGGTTTCTAAATTCAAATGTGAGGATGGGGATATGAGACAGAGAAAATGCACTAGATAGGTATCGTGAAGGATGTGAGAGCTCCAGGCTGAAAATGTCAAACTTGAGCAACCATGGCTAGGGTCAGTCTAACCAGCTAAATCTTAGGAAGAGTACAGATCTAAAGTTGTCAAATTTCAATTTCTCAAGAGTTTGTGAAAATCTGTACTTTTATTTAAATCCTCCTGATTTTTAATACTGGCTTTAAGGGTTTTTTTTTTTTTTTAATTTATTTCTTTATCCACTGAAAATAAATTTTACTTGCTGGCCATATTCTACCCAGAAGTCATCGATTTATGAGCTCTGTCATCAGACTCTACTCATTTCCTCATTCTTGTAGGAAGCAGGTGAATACAGAAAGCTCCCACTAAACTAAAAGCAAACAAACATACACCACTTGACATTGCCATGATTTGATTCCTATTTTCCTTTCCAGTCAATTTTAAGCCTAAAGGCTTAAGCGAAGTAGTAGTACTCTTTCTACATCACCCTGATGCCCAATATTTAAAAATTTCCAGACATTCATTCAAGTAAATTCCAACATGCAGTGATTATCTTTGCTTCAACACATTGTATGAAGTTTCTGTGCATACTCTAAAGATGAGTATAGTAGACTAATAGACATTTTCTTCAAATTTCTTATAATCTACATTAAAGGTAGGTATAATCCAATAAGTGAATAGGTTGAAACCCAGGAAAATTAATCAGCCCCTTATCTCGTAGTCACTGAATATTCCTATAAAATCTCTGTGTTAATATCTAGTCAATGAATAGTTAGCATTTTGGTTGCTATTCATTGACTTTGAGATTATTTTATTATATAAGGAATGTGTGCTTTCACACTTTTAGTGAGTTTTCATTTACTGAAATGCTCTGATTCAAATGTACCAACCAATGCAGTAATGCAATGTAACTATAAAGAAAAAACAGTCTTCCTGTTTCCTCCATAATTAAGAATGTTTGACCTTAACTTTCTTATCAGTAACAGGTTTATATCAGAAGAAAATTACATACTGGATATATGTAGGCATGGAGTATGGTTAAGAGTGGGTTTCAGCTAAAATGACTAGTCTTACAAAAAAGAAGTCAGTAATCTAGAAAGCTTATTTTCTGATTTGTATCCAATTTTTAAAACATGAGCCCACACAGAAATACTCATTCACAGGATAAGGCTAATGTATTTATAATTGTCAGTACAGTAGAACTGTATAGGCTCTATTTTCAGCTAGCTGAGAAAACCCAAAAGCAGAATGAAGACTCAATAAGGAAGAAATTAAAGATAATTCTTGGGCCGGGCGCGGTGGCTCAAGCCTGTAATCCCAGCACTTTTGGAGGCCGAGGCTGGTGGATCACGAGGTTAAGAGATCGAGACCATCCTGGTCAACATGGTGAAACCCCGTCTCTACTAAAAATACAAAAAATCAACTGGGCACGGTGGCACGTGCCTGTAATTCCAGCTACTCAGGAGGCTGAGGCAGGAGAATTGCCTGAACCCAGGAGGCGGAGGTTGCGGTGAGCCAAGATCGCGCCATTGCACTCCAGCCTGGTGAAAAGAGCGAAACACCGTTTCAAAAAAATAAAAAATAAAATAAAAAATGTTAGTACTCTGTTGAATATTTTATTCCATTAGTATAAAGACACTATATTCAAAACTCACATATTCATTCGTAAATCTCTGACTATGTAATGATTTCAGTTTTATGGTTCCATATTCTTCAGTGAGTGACATTAAATAGACCTGGTTCATTCTTTTATTTAAGTAGTCATACTTAAACCATAAATCAGGTGTTTAATATAAGTTTGCCAAGCCCAACATATTTGAGGACAGGATGTAAAATTTATTATTCCTTAGTAGAGAAACTCACCTTATCTCTAGGACCAAAGAGGAATTGATTTTCCAACCTTCTACATTGTGCTGAAAGATTGAAGAGCCAGCCTTTCGAATGATTTTATCAGAGCTATTGACAAGTGACCGACTCAAAGACAATTCACCATCTCTGAAACAAAACAAAAATTCCAGCTTTGTGAAAGTAAGAAACATTTTGTCTAAACAGCACAATACATAATTTGAATTAATTACTGATGAAGAATGTTAGATACATTTTCCCCTACAAGTTAGAAGGAATTATATAAGCATGATGAATAACTTATGAGGATTAAGTGAAAATAACTTATGAGGATTAAGTGAAAATAACTATCAGGACAAGAATCTACATGTGATACTTTTGAAATAAAACAATTTATGATTAAAGAAAAAAAGATCTCTATAGTACTTAAAGAAAAAAACCCCACCAAATATAAAGACAGAATTATATAACTCAGCAATCTCTCCTCTGGGCATATACCCAAAGGAAATGAAATCAGTATGTCAAAGAGATCCTTACATTCCCATGTCCACTGCAGCATTATTCACAATAGCCCAGATATAGAAATAATCTATGTGTCCATCAACAGAAGAATAAAGACAATGTTATATATATACTCAGTGGAGTACTATTCAGCCATTAAAAAAGAACAAAATCCCACCATTTGTGACAACATGAATGAACCTAGAGGATACTAAGGTAAGTGAATCAGTCTAACACAGAGAGACGAATACCTTATAATCTCACTTATATATTGATTCTAAAACAGTGGAAATCGTGGAAGTAGAGAACAGAATGTTGGGAAGAGGGAGTGAATGGGGAATGGGGAGAAATTGGTGAATAGTACAAAATTTCACATTTAGATGGGAGAAATAAGTTCTGTTGCACAACCCAGGGACTACCATTAATAATATTGTATTGTATATTTTTAAGTAGCTGCAAGAGATTTTAAATGTACTCACCACAAAGAAATGACATTTGAGGTGATATTTGAGCTGATGGATATGCTAATTAGCCTGATCTTACCATTACACAATGTATACTCTATGGAAACCTCACATTGCATACAATAAATATACACAATTATTATTTGGCAATTAAAATGAGATAAAACAAATAAAAAGCTCTGTTTCCTATTAGCCTCTCACTAACTCTGTTTAGACAATATAGGCAGAATGTTTTGCAGTGCTCCTCCTTTTGTATAATTGTGACTCCTAAGATTGTAATTTCATTTTTACAGAAGGCATATATGCATAATAGAAGGGGCTCTTGTTTTGAAGCAAGGATAACTTGGAATATCAGGTGGTCTGGGCGTGTTTGTGATTCTATGACTTGCTTGTGGTCCTGGACTCTATTCTCTTTCTAAGCCACAGTGGCCTTACTCTGTCTTGAAGATTGAAGTAAAATTATCTAATGTTCAATGGCTTTGTGAGGATCAAGTCAGGCTCTGCATGTAAAATTAATTTTTCAAAAATTGCATTGATTTCAAAACATTTCAACGAGTCACTTCCCTGACAGGTGATGGAGAGACAGAGATTACAGTAAGGATAAAATTCATTCAGTAGTCATTATTACTAGTATTTCATCCTATATTTAAAAAACTACCCCCTGCAACCAGTAGTGTCAAGCTAGTGTGTCATGCAGCATGATACTAGCTAGGGTGCTGGAGGGAGTCCTGATGCTGGCAGATACCTGTAATAGCATGCATACCATTAGAACATTTATATCTGAATGAATTCATTATTCAATAGACCATGTTCTTGTACTTTATCAGTGTAAACCCAGACTCAGAAAATATAAAAGCTACTTCTTATAGAATACCAACAATAACCATAGCCCTTTGAATATTTGTATTTATTTCTTTACATCACCTTTTACTTCTTAGAATGTCAAAAATATAGTTGAAATGTAACATGACTATGCACTCCATAACAAACTCTAAATCTGTGTTTTTTATGCAGGCAATCCTCTTCTAGTATCAATGGGAACATTACCTGTATAACAGTTGTTGGTTGAATCCTGTAATTGAAACCTTATAGTTTGGTATTTTGGTTTGCATTTTTTTAACATGTAGTTTAAATTTGAAGCTGCTCAAAACATCATAAACTGCTATTCCCTGTGAAATTCAGAATTCTATAAAAATTAATATCTTAAACTATCCTACTAATGAAAATGATACATTTGCATGCCTATTCATGGCAAATAATGATTGCTTTACAGGGGGGCATTTAGGATGCAAGGAAACACGGGGTGCACTTTACTAACAATTGGCCCAGAAGTCAATTTTTATATTATATTTCTAATGATAATAACTAAGTATGAATAAAAATATGGCTATACACAGAAGCTAACCTTCACACTTTGGGAGATATGACTTCATGTGTTCAGGTGCAAACTATCACTATTTCTAGGGGTAAGGGATATTTCTAATCATCACTCTATTAATTGATGTATCAATGTCATCTTTATCTAACCACAGATTGCTATCATTATAATAATTATTTTCACCACCAATAAACTTTTATAGAATAAGTGAAAATATGCATGGGCTTGCACTTTTTAAAATGTATGGAAGAGCTGGGCATGGTGGGCAGTGCTTATAGTCCTAGCTACTCAGGAGGCTGAGTTGGGAAGATTACTTGAGACTAGGAGTTAGAGACCAGTCTGAGTAATATCACAAGACTCTGTCTCTAAAACCTAATTAATTAAATTAATAATCTATAGATGATTGCTTCATTGACATGTAGTTACAAATACATACGACATGGCAGAATGTTTGCTATGATGTTTTTAGTTGGTCCAACCCTTTTCAGAATCTCCAAGATTTAAAAAGTTTAAATCAGTGTTCTAAGAATAAAACACGACCATTTTACTCTGCTGTTTGAATTGCTATCATTGAGTTGGTGATAAGCCAAATTTCAGACTTTTATTGCTGGAAAGAATTTTGAGTCAAAATACCTACAACTAGTCACACTTCTAATAGTCATTGTGGGAGAAGGCCAAACTTAGTACAATCTGCAGCTCTAGAGTAAATTTGTACAAAGTTAAATAGGTCCCATGGGATGTTTCCCTCATGACCTTGGTAGCATTCTGTCTTAGAAAAGGCTCTTCCTTCCCATGAATGCAAAGCTCAAAGGATGTTGCCACCCCCCTATTTATTTCTCACTCTAGGTCAGACATGACTTTTGAACAGCTGCACTGAAAATATTTATTGCATAGGGTCATCTACAAGAAGATTCAATATGTACTTTTAAAAGGAAAATAGCAAAACACAAGCAAAACACATCTGCAAGAAGATTCAATGTGTACTTTTAAAAGGAAAATAGCAAAACACATCAAAACATATCAAGAAATCACTCTGCATAAATCAGCATAGTACAAAGTGTCCCTGCTTATATGGAGCAAAGAAAAATCCACTAAGATCGTTATCTATATGATACCAGTGGCAGGAATTGATCATTTGTTAGGTAACCTAGTGTCTATAAATATTTTTCTCTTTGAAATACAAGTTTCCAGATTTCATTAGAATTTACTCTATTAGTTTTGCAGTGTGTAACTCATATGATTAATATCACTTCACGGCATTAGGTCTCAAAAGTCCCATATTCAACACCACTGAAACTTTTCATGACTTGGCTTTTGAATGAATTTGCTCCCTTTGGACTAGGTTAAACTTCCTCTTTATTACACAAATTTTAAGAAAAGAACTTGCATTAAACTAAGGATGAACACACACAGCAGACCATTTTGTATTTTCATCACTTAATTGACAAACAACTAAAAATAAAAATGAGAGGTTCTACATTAATTTATTGCATATGAGTTTAGTAGAATTGTGAAATTCGAAATGTGAAGTGCAAATTCTGAATTTTTGCATTCACAAGGTTGTATTTCATCCTAAACCAAACTGGAACTAACTTTGCTGACACTGTAATACTCTAAGTGAAAATACTTATCTCCACTGTCAATTTTATCATAGGTTTCAGAATTAATATTGTTTATCATTTAGTAAGATAACCTAAAGTATATAGTCAAATTATAAGGGAGATTCCTGGATAATAAGAAAAGTAAGTTAGTCTCATTTGTAATCAACCAGAAAAATAGTGTGTGGCAAGATTTAAGGACTAACAAAACAAATATTTATATGACATTAAAGTTTATATTACATTTTGAAATATATTATCTCATTAAATGAGGATGCTTACATATTTTACCTATGGGGACCTTATATTAACACATTTCCTATTATACCCAAAGTGCACACAGAGCTAGTTAAGTCATAAGCCAACTGTGAGGTCTACTAAGAAAAAAATGGTAGTCAAGAACACACCACTTAATGCCTTCACTGCCTTTTGACTTAAACTTTATTACCTAATAGAAAGGAAATATGAATTTTAGATGTTCAATAATCATTACTTGACCTATTCTGGAATAATTACTTTAAAAAATCATGCCACAGGTGTTCCTCTGGAGATATGATAATATGGGTGGTTGGTGAGAAGATTGTGCTGGTTCTCTATTTTTCCATCTGTGTGGAATGATTGCTTAATATTGTGGCATATAGAAGAGTAATGCTATACCAACTATAGATGGGACCTCCAGTTGTGGGAAGGGTTGAAGGGATAAAGGAACTGACTGCTTATGTCAAAAATGGTAGCAGAAAAGCTAAATATGAATCTGGGGTGGTGGTGCAAGATTCAAGGACTATGGAAGGCCCTTCTTTGAAACTGCTGTCAAGCCACAAGGCTCACAGTGCCCCCCAATGGCCAGAGACTGCCTTGGTTACCTCACTTCAATACTGGACAAGGATCTGGAATCAAACCTCCATTCCAGTTTACTGAAAACTCAAAACTGGCCTCTCCACGTGGCTTGGGTAGAAAGAGAGTCAATGAGATGATTAGATCCTTTGATGAGTCAACTGCTCCACCAGAAGCGCTATTTGGGAGTTGAAACGAAACCACGAGCTCAGGTCACAAGCTTTTCCACTGAACCTTTCATCCTGGAGAAAAAGGAAACAGTGCTCAGGGAGCCTCGCTGTCCTCGCGTTGCTCTGGCATCTCCAACTCCATCCACAGTCTCGGTCTCTCAGGAAGAGCCAAGGCAGCCAGGACGCTACAGGGCACTGGTGTAAGCGCGATGCTCGCGGCCAGCTCTCTGCCTCGCCCCATCGGACTGTAATTGCGGGTTATAATTAAGAAGGAGGAGCCAGTTGCCAACTGAGCAGTGAAAGTGACTTTGGAAGGAGTCGGGGGGTGGGGTGGACGAAAGGGGTCTGAGTCCTGCAGTAGAGGATCCCCCTGTCTTCTCACTCATTCTTTCCCCCTCGCCGCCGGCGCTCTCGGAACAGGGGACAGCCCCGGTGCGCACCTCTCTTCCTGTTTGGTTAACTCTAGCGCCCGCCCCAATGCCATCTCAGCTAAGCTGGGAAGAAACTGTCTCAGCTTGAAAAGGATGCGGGCAGAAGCCCAGCCCGGCTAGCTTAAACCGCCGCGCCCGTGCCCGCCTCCTCTTCCTCAGCGCCCATGGCTGCACCCACCAGCCGGCGATGTCTAGGAAAGGGCCACGGGAGAAATGACATCCATGCAATGTGGAGTGTCCCGGCTCCACTTCCCCTGCAGGGACTCGAGGAGCTCTTCTTTTCCTGGCTATGGTTTAGAGAGGCTTGGAGAGGGACACCTCAGCAGTGTCTGGCGACTCCTCTCCTCACTAGCCCCGCCCACTCCTGCTCACCAGGGTCCGAGCCAAGGGCCCGAACCCCCGGAGTCCTGGTGAGGCTTGGCCGCTTTGTCTGGGCTCAGGCTTATACTCTTTGCCCACCGCCCAGGAGGGAACAAAGAGCCTCGACCCTCAGGCTCCAGCCTCTGTCTCCCATCGGAGCCCCACGCTCCCATTCATCACCTTTCTAAGGACCCCTTTGTCTGCCTGGCAAGCACAGGTCTGGCAGGGATGCCCACGCCCCTGCCCAAAGTCCTTTTTTTCTGCAATTGAGCTAGATTGGATTTTCAAGCCACCCACTCCTGTGCAAACGACCTCATACCCGTCTTTTTTTACCCCCTCAGAATAGACCACGTATAGATTGGTTGATGCATAACTACCATTCCAGCCCATTCCTTGCTAGCTTTTTCATTCTCTTCCAGTCCCCTTTGACTGTGCTACAGAATAGAAAGTCTTTCTGTAAGGATAAACCTGCATCTTGGTCACTTAAATAAATGCTTATTACCTAGGGAGCAGAAATATTAAAAAATGGAGTGCATGAAGTTTAAGAACATGTGTGTGTTTTAGCAGTCCCAACACCCCAACACACACACACACACACACACACACACACACACACACACACACACTGCTTCTTTCTTTGTTTAAATCAATGTCAGAGAAAATATACACTGGGTAGGCATCTCTGCTGGTGTGGAGTTTCTGATAGAGGACGCCTCCAGACCGGAACAGGGAGGATTTCCGAAACAGGACTTTGAACAGAGTTGACAATCGGGTTCACATCCTCAGAAAAACGCGTCCAAGCTATGTCAGAAACACAAAGTTGCACCACCTCCTGGGTAAACTTCAAAGGCACAGAGGCCAGCGGGAGGGTGGAAGGAAGTGTGATATTTAGAGAACTTAATGGGGCGGGAGAGAGTCTGAATTCATCTAGACAAACTAAAAAAAATAGCAGAAATATAGTCTGTGTGAAGATACAGTACCCAGTTTCTTTTTAAAACTGTAACCATGACGCCCATGCGTTTTACCCGTAGAAGAACAAATAAGGAAGTATCCTTAGTGGTACTGGAGTTTCTAATTCAAATTATAATACATAGATCTATCCAACGTCAAAAAAAAAAAAAAAAAAAAAAAGTAGAGAAACAGAGGATACCTACTTCCTGCTTTCTGAGCTTTAACTTCAGCCTTTCAAGAAATCATCTATCTCCCGTATCGCCTTAGGTGATAGGACAGCGAAAACAGGCAACCGTTTGGTGAATAAAGACATCTCTCTTGAATTCTGCCACAGATTAAAAGGACAAGGACACACGTTCTTTGTTGACACTTCTGCAGTGACTTCTCCTTTGGCGTGAGAGCACCCAGAGCCAACACAATTGTCACCACAACGGCACAGAGCAAGTTGAACTCAAACTGGGAACAGCTTAGAGAAGCACGCACATCTCAACAACAGCCTTTGTTATTTAATTCCTGACACTAACCACACGCGAGCTCAAACACACATGACATCCTAAGCACACTCTACCCTCTATATTCACATTTCATTTATGGCTTGACTTTTTGTCATATCCTGAAATGAAGCTTTGCATTTACCCGATGAGTTGCGTCTCCTGGTGCTCCTCCGTTCTTGCTATTTCTTTTGTCTTATAAAATATCAGGAGCAGACTTATTGTGCAGATCGTCCACCTCTTCCTAATGGAGCGCATCTTGGGTGCCCGGGAAAGTCCTGGTTGCCCCAGCTCCCGCACCTTCTCTTGATATAAAGGCTCCGTTTTGGGGAGATAGTCGCCGGGGGGAAACCTGTAAAATGCGAGGAGAGCCTGGAGTCGAGATCCCAGGATCAGGTCGCTGGGGTCTTCTGTGGCCGAGCTCCCTCTTGTCCTCGAGCGCTGCCCAGCGCCCTCTCTCCCGGTTCGCGCCAGCTCTGCCAGGGTCGTCCGCGCCGCCTCCCTGGGGCACAGCTTTCTTTTCAGATGAGACACCTTGTGCTTTGGAGGTGGCGGCCGCTTCTGCAGCTGGCTTGGGGGCGTCACTGGCCCTTTCCTCTTCTAGCAAGGAAAGGCTGCGCAAAGCCAGCCAATCATCGAGCTGAGGGGGCGGAGGCTGCTTGAAGAGTAACGTCCCCGGCTTTGCCTGCTCTGTGCCGGGAGTGGAAGCTCACAGTGCCACGCGCTTGGCGAGCTCGCGCACACACATACACACAGACGCACACTCACTCACACACACAGAGACCCTCACACACTCTCCTGGAACACCAAAACATAAGCTCTCTGGGCCTGGGAGCGCCAAGATAGTCTATCGGCATCTCGGTGAGAGGGCACTTCGCCTGGGGACAGATTACAAAAGCGTCCCGCCGGAGAAATGCCTCAGGCAGAGATGGGGGTGGATTACAAGAGGCGTACCTTCTTCCAATCGCTTTTGCTTAATATACACGCTCACACGCAAAAATACCCCTTCCAAAGTGGAGTGAAACGGGGTGGGGGTGGGGGGCGGCGGTGGAAGAAAGAGGACTTTTGTTATTCCATGCACAGCTCAATCTGGAAAGTACAAATACACACATGAACCTGTTAGCCGATCGCCCACTCAGCATGGGTGGTGGAAGACGACCCTGGATCAGGATGCTGCAGGAAACAAGTGATGACAGAAGTGTCATTAGGAACTTTGTGGATATTTATACGCCTCCCTTTCATTGTCGTATGGAAACTCCTCACGCAGAAGTCAAGGAAATTCCAATCCCACTTAAACTTCATTGCGGAGAAACAGGATTCTGAGAAAGAAAAAAAAAAAAAAAGCAGCTACCAGGGACCTCTCTTTTAAACGCAAGTACACCCATACACATTCAGATACCTAGGAAGGAAGGAAAGAAAGAAGAAAAGGAAAGGGAGGGGAGAAAGGAAGAGCAACGTTCTCTCCAAAAAAGGAAGAGCAAAGTTCTCTCCAAAAGTCTCAAAATATATAGGTCTGATTGTCACCTGTCCTTCATCCTACCACTTTTCGTTCTGGCATTGGGTGGCGGGGACACTCTTCAAGAGTCCTGTGTTCGAGTGTTCACTCTGAGTACCTCTCCACCATCCTCTCGTCCTCATCCTCATTGGGAAAGATACTTGCACTCTACTAGTTCCGCTCTTTACTGTGGGCTGGTAGGTCGGGAGGCACCTCCAGCATGAGACGGTGTGTGGGAGCCAGGATTTCCCTCATCTATATGCGCACGTCCGAAGCTCCCTGGTCGCCAGTTTCTCTCCAGTTGAAATCGTTGTTCCTTCAGGTTGAACAGTAGCTTCAGCGATCTTTCACTCCTGGTCGTTGCGTTTAGGCGTCCCCATGCTCAGAAATGAGGAGGCCCAATTCCAATCTTCCCTCCCGCGGGAAGTAAGAAGGGGAATTCTGGGTTGCTCATCCCCTGACAGCTTAAAATAGCAACGAAACAGCCATCATCTTTGCTTAAAAACCCGGGTTCCCGCCAGTGCTTACCATGCTTCCTCTAGAGTTTAGGAAGTTAAGAACTTCTGAGATCTTGAGTTTCCTGTTTGCAGCACAGTGAACGGGTCGGGTATAAAAATGCTCCAAGGAGCAAGTAATTACGAACTTTTATTGACACTACAAGTGGCCTGCAGGGAGCCTTTCGAGTTTATTGATGTCTAGGCAAATGCAGCCTGCATTAATGCATTTCTGTTAGACTGACTTCTGTTGGATTAAATTTTATTCCGGCAAAAACTGCCAGAATAAAACAGCTTCTTATTTAAGTGAAAAGGCAACGGGGGCTGAGGGCAGGGGTGGGGTGGGGTAAGTATGCATGGTTAAGATGCTAATTTCTCAAGGGTAAACTTTGATTTTTAAACAGTAGACAACTATGTATTAGATTATAAGTAAAACACTACTCTCTGACAGGGATGGGGTAGTATACATCATGGCATTCAACTCATTATTTCTTAAGCAATTGTTATGGGCCAGGCAATGTGTGAGGGGATAACACAAAGATGAACAAAACGTAGCATCTAGTCAGACACAAAGCCTACTCACTCAAAGGGGGACATTTTTTAAAATAATGATTTACAGTATGTCACCATGAATCAGAAGCATCATTTGAAATATATATGGTATCTGAGTAAGCTCCTGGGTTGAAGCAGGTGGAGTGTTTAAGCTTTTTCAAGCCCCAAAGCTGACTTTGCAAATGGAAAAAGGAGAATGCCAGACTCTAGAGAGGAATAAAACGCTGGTACTTTGGGGTAACTTTGGAGTGGTTCAGAACTGTAAGATGGGAAAGTGGTAAGGGAGAGTGCTCGGTCATAAGTTTCAGTGTGATCATAATATTCTTTGGCTCCAGAGTGTGGAACTGTCTTTTCTAATGAGAAAGCCACACACACACACACACACACACAAGAATCTTCAAGAGGAAAGTGGGTTTAATTTATGTATTAAGCTTTAAATTACATTAGGGGAAACTATTTACACACCCCAAACAGCAAAAAAAAAAAAAAAAAAAAAAAAACCCGAACTGAAACTAAAGCAACCAAGAACTAGTTATGAGACCACATAAGACAAATTTAAATGTCCAGAAGAAAAATAAGTGAACTCCCCAATTGTATAATGCTGCTATTTTTGAATTTTTAAAGTACAGAACTTTTTATATTAAGGTGAGCAATTCTGAATAACTAATAACGGTTCAGCTAGACTCCAGGAATTCTTCTTCCCAAACTAAAACAATTTAAATGTTTGGAGTATAATTGAATGCCGTTTGTTTAATATTGTTAGATTCATTAAATGTATAGCCATTATAATCTGCCAATTAAAAGGAAGCTATTTAGGCCAACACTTAGACCAAAGTGAGGACATTCTGATTTTTCTCAATATGTAAGTGGGAGCAAGAACTCTAAATATTGGATAAAAAGTGTTGTCCACACAAGAAGTCTTTTGGAATGAACTTCTTCTATTAGAATGCTTAGTTTGATGTTCATGAGCAAATAAGATTGTTTCTAAATATTCATTTAATCTTTGGATTGTAAGTTATTCAATAAAGAATATATTTGTCTTTATTCAGCACAATTCTGCAATTATACAATAGCCTATAAATAAATAATATAAGTAATGGCAGTGGTTTTAAAATGCTACTTTATCCTTTGACTTAATGTAAATTCATGTTTGCATTCCTGGCTGTACTCTCAAATCTAGCTGGCAAGAAATAGATAGATGCTTGCAGTCTCATGGTGGGGTTTTTAATGACCCATAACATTTTTAATAGACTACATTTTTTCAGAAAAGATTTAGGTTTGTAGAAAAATTGAAGAGAAAATACAGAGATTCCCCATATAACTCTACCTTCTTCCCATTCTCACAGCCTCCCTATCATCATTCCTCATCAAAACTGTACTTTTTTTTTTTTACATTCAATGAACCTACATGGACATATCATTATCACCTACAGTACATAGTTTACATTAGGATTCATTCTTGGTGTTGCACATTTTATGGGTTTTGCAAAATATATACTAAACATATATTCACCATTATAGTTTAATACAAATTGGTGTCACTGCCCTAAAAATATTCTGTGATCTGATTATTCATGCTTCTTTCTCACTCCCCATCACCCCAGGCTCTGATTTCTCTAATATTTTTACTGTTTCCATAGCTTTGCCTTTATAAGTGTCATAAGTTGGAATCATGTAGTATGTAGCCTTTTCTGATTGGATTCTTTGGCTTAGTAATATACTCCATATTTTTCATGAGTTGAAAAACAGATGTTTTTTCATGGCTTGAAAGTTCATTTTATGTAAGCACTAAATAAAATTCATTATATGGATATATCAAAGTTTATTCATCCACTTATTGAAGGACATCTTTATTGCTTTCAAGTTTGGGCAGTTATGAATATGGCTGCTATAAACATGTGTGTACTGTTTTCCATGTCGATGTAAAGCTTTCAGCTCATTTGGGTAAACAGAAAGAAACAAGATTGTTGGATTTTATGGTAAAAATGTGTCTAGCTTTGTAAGACACTGCCAAAGTGTCTTCCAAGGTGGCAGTACCATTTTTTATTCCCATCAGCAATGAATGAGACTCCTTGTTTCTTCATATCCTTGTCAACATTTACTGTTGTATAGGTTTAGATTTTGACCATTCTATTAGACGTGTAGTAGTGGTATCTTACTGCTGTTTTAATTTGCAATTTCCTAATATTATATAATGTTGAGCAATTTACACATGTTTATCTTCTTTGGTGAGGTGTCTGTTCTGAAGTTTTCTCAGATTTTTAATTAGGTTGTTCATTTTCTTATTGTTGAGTTTTAAGGGTTCTTTCTATATTGTGGATAACAGTTCTTTGTTACATCTGTTTTTTTTGAAAATACATTCTCTCAGTTTGTGGCTTGTCTTTTTGTTCTCTTCACAGTCTCTTTCACAGAGGAGAGGGTTTTAATTTTAGTGAAGTCCAGCATATTAATTAGGTATTTTATTGATGATTCCTTTGATTTTGTATTTAAAATCTAAACCTAAGATAATCTGGATTTTTAAGATATGTTATCTTTTAGGCATTTCATCATTTTCTGTTTTAGGTCATAATCTGTTTTGAGTTAAGTTTTGTGAATCATGCAAATTTTGTGTCTAGATTATTATTTTTTTCATGGGGATGTCTAATTGTTTCAGCACCATTTGTTGAAAAAGGTGTCTTCTCTCCATCATATTGCATTTGCTTTTTTTTGTATTATCAAAGAAGCAATGGTTAAATATATTTGGGTGGGTCTATTCTGGGCTTTCTATTCTGTTCCACTTATCTATTTGTCTATTCTTTTACCAATGCCACACTGTTTTAATTGCTGAAACTTTACAGTAAGACGTAAAGTAGGGTAGCATCAGTCTTCCAACTTTATTCTTTTCCTTCAATATTTTGTTAGCTGTTCTAGGTCTTTTGCCTCTCTGTATAAACTTTGGAATGGGTTTGTTGACACCTAAAAAAAAAATCTTATTGGGATTATGATTGAGCTTGCACTAAATCTATGTATCATATTGGGAAGAAATGATATCTTCACAGTATTGAATATTTCTAGCCATGAGGATGGACTATCTTTCCATTTATTTAGTTCTTCTTTAATTTATTTCATTAGAGTTTTTTCAACTTTTCCTAATGTAGATCTGATACATATTTAGTTAGTTTTATACCTGGATATTTCATTGTTTGGGGAGTTAATGTAACTAATACTGCATTTCATTTCAAATTTCAATTGCCCTTTGCAAGAACTCATGGCATTTTTAATAATGGAAATTTTAAATAGTGTATATACTTCAGAGTTTGTTCAGAGAAAAAGAACCAAAAATATCTGTATATACAGTGAAATTGAGATTT